CCCTTCCTCGTGCAAGATCTAAGACCTCTAGGGCCTCAGTAAATTACCATGGTATCGTTTGTTTGTTCACCATTGGGAGCCAGGCTGTTAGTTCATTTATTTTGACCCACTAGAGGCGTTAGGATTGCCCGTCCGATTTTCCGACTGAGCCTTTTATCTGTCCCGTCCGTTCAGCGACGTGCTCACTTTTTTTGACTCGTCGCAATTTTTTGGCCTGCTATTAGTCGATGATAATTCCGGTTTTCTGTGAACACGTGAAGGCGAGTCAACGAAGGCGAAGTGTCAACGAAAAAACAAGCAACAGTTATAGGGGGCAGGGGTAAATCAACCACCAGTGACCTCAGTCCAGAGGTGTCTGCGTAGGGTGATGTATGCCGGCGCCAAATCGATAAATCGATTGACTGACTTCTCATCCGAGGCCCAGGCTTTAATAAATTCGCGGCCTGTCTTGTTGCCGGCGTGGGCGATTATATCCGCGGCTGCGAAGTTAACCTCGTGACCCGTCTCCTAGGTGTGGGTAGCCACTTGTAATAATGCGTCACCCTGTTTTACGGCCAACTTGTGTTCGTGTATCCGCGACCCAACTATGCGTCCAGTCTGTCTTGTGTAATTTCGAGGACAGTTCTCGACCCGTCTTACTACCAGTGTGAGTAATTATCTTCGCGGCTGCGAAGTTGAACTCGTGACCCGTCTCGTAGGTGTGGGCCGCCACTTGTGATAATATGTCACCCCGTCGAACAGCCAGCTTATGTTCGTGTATGTGCGAACCCAGTTTGCGTCCAGTCTGTCCCGTGTAATTTGTGGGACAGTTTTGGCATTTTATGCGATACACTACACCCGACTGTTCAATGGGATTTAATCGGTCCTTGATCCTCATGACTCGGCTGCACATGGTAGCCCTGGGATGATGTGCAATTCCGACGCTTAGTCCCGCATCAATGCACTCGCTCGCTTACAACACATCCTTGATGCATTGCAGCGCATGCCATATCGTACGGGTTGGTTCTGGTTGAGTCCTCGGAGGAAGCGCACGTAGGCATCCACCTATGAAGGCCTTCGGATAGCC